TGATTTCTGGTGGTTCTTTGTATCACACACACACAATGTATAGTTGAGCTTGAATGCACATGAATATTATTATATATGTGTATGTACATACAAATGAGCATATGCCTATATTTCCGTACATGAATATATATATATATATATATATATATATATGTATATATATGTCCTTTTTCGTCTAGTTTAGAAAATTTGTAAGCAATTACTAACATTGATGTTCCTAACATTCAAATGTAGCTCAGACTGGCTTTGAACTCATGATCCTCTTGCCTCAGAACCCAATAGCTGAGACTAAAGGCATGAGCTTCTGCTATTCCTGGCTTCCTTTTTGTCCATATAGTCTCTAGCTATATCTTCTTAAAAACACCTTTCATCTTGAGAAGGCCATGGATACACACACTGAGTATGGCGACACTGACCCCTCATGCTCATCCCTCAGATTCCCTTACATCCCCTTACCAACTTCATATCTTCTTTTCAAAACCTTACCTCTCAGTTTTCCTGTCAGGAGCTCCCCAGTATAGCTCAGAGCCTGGAGAGCAAGTTCTTAGTTCATGTCAGAATTTTGGCTGGTTCCACCTTGTATGGATATGGCACAGTAGCCACAGCTGTGTGAGTCCATGGTGTGCAGCGATGTCATGTCCAGAAGACATCATTTCACAGTTCTCCTCACCATCCTCAGCATACATGGTTTCTGCCTCCTCTTCATATTCCCTGAGCTTGGTGTGGGGACAACATAGGTAGTGATTCCCAATTCAGGGTTGAGACCTCAGTCACTCCCTCTCGGCACTTTGAACAGAGAAATGCCATTCTTTTATCAGATCTTCATATTTCACGTATTCTTCCATCTGAATGTGCAGGTACTGACTACAGGCCCACCAATAATTTTGACATTTTCTAAGTACTATTTTTAGATTTTGTTGTTCTCAACTGATGATTTTCTATTTTCACAGATTTGTTCTAGTCACTTATTGTTTCTGCTTCTGCTTATTTTAGATTTATTTTTCTTTCTCTTCTAAATTTCAGAGCTGAAAACATAGATTTTTTTTTACCTTACCTCTTTTTTTCTTTTCAATTATATGCATTGGATATGTGTTCAATTTAATGTTACAGATGCTATTTGATGGTATAAATTTCCCTTTAAAGCCTGCTTCCCAACTCACGGTTGGCATAGTGATGATCTCTGCCACACTTCAAACAGGATTTCTCTCTTTGGACTGGTAATCAGTGCTCTTTCTTTATAGTGATGGAATCTACAGCTTTTCATTTAGTTCTTATTTCTCCTTCATTTATGGACAGCATCACTGTGGACTATCTTGGTCTTGGCTGGGTTCAGTCTTAGATGTGATTTGGCAAACATAGACTCCAGGGTTGTTTTAAAGGACTCAGGCAAGTTAGCTTCTGAAGCTCAGGGCAGTTTGGTACCTAATATTAGCATCAAGCTATCCTTCTCATCCATTTTCTGGTTTTACTTGTTCATGCAGTCAGATTGCCTGAGAAGAAGCTAGGCAAGACTCCAGGATTAAGGCCAGGCCCTGTGGATCTTTTTAGACTTTTCCTGTAGACCCAAGCTCTAGGCTTACACATATATGAGGTCTAGCCTGTCCATAGAATTCAAAAGGAATCTTTTCCATGCTTTTCACATGATGACCCATGCTGAAGTTCTGGATGTACATCTGTACATGGCAAGTAAACAGACAGAAGCAAATGAGCACAAAGATGTTGAATAGTTAGGGAAACATGATACCATGGAAAGAAAACGAAAATATCACAAACTGATTTACCATAATAGATATTCATATATTGTAGTATAAAGAAAATGAAATACAAGTACACAACTAATTGAAAGTAGGAAACCCTACATTAAAAAAGAAAGAACTCAGAAGAAGATGGAAATTCTGGAGCTGAAGAATACAAAGACCCAGTGATATTCATCAACACTTTTCAGTCAGAAGAAAGCATCCTGAGCTCAAAGACAATCCTGTTAAGCTACCAAGTTAAAGACAGCCAATCAACACCATCAATCCCAGAGGGGAGAGTTTCAGCTCAATGATAGCTACTCCAGCATCCCATTTCTGGAGATCGAGGCTGAGCATCAAATATGAAAAATCCTGATGGAAGACACATGAGAATCAAGGCATAGCCAAACCTTCTACTTCCTGATGTTTTATATACTGAAAAGTCACCTCTAAGGTCTTCAAAGATGGCTCAGCAGTCAAGAGCACTTTCTGCTGTTACAGATGATCTGGGTTTTATTCCCAGCACTCTCATGGAAGTTTATGTCCATTCATAATTCCTGTTCCAAGGGATCTGTCATCCTCTTCTGGCCTTCATGGGTATCAGGCACACACGTGGCACACTTACATATTCAGTCATACAAAAGACTCCTGCACATAAGTGTTTTCTCAAAGGTCACTTGTAGAGTATATTTTCATTAGAATGAATAAAAATAAAGTGTTCTATATCTGAGAACTGATCAAAGGAGTCAGTGACGGTGGATATAGAACCCCCCAATCTACACATATTATTTTCCATTGATGGGGTCTGACCTCAGCTAGAGGGGCAGAAGCTCCCTTTTCACATTCTGTTCCAGGTTTCTAGCCTCTGTGTCAGCAATTTTATGTCTCGTTCACAAAATGAAACTTACTCTAATTACTCAGAGAGCAGAATTTAAGGGCAAGGATATCAGTCATTGTTATTGTCTAGCATGTAGAAAGCCCCTGGTCTACATTCAGTGCACATAACTAGAAAAAAAGTATTTTTTAAAGATTTATATTTAATGGTGGAGAATGTTAGTAAGATGTTCTATTTTAATCCAAACAAAACAAAATGCCATAGTTTATTTTTTACATCTGTATGCCATTAAGTCATCCATACATTTCAAGCATCTTTTCTACTTTTATTCTTTATATTTGTATTACATATGTTTATTTATTTTGGACTTCAACTCAGGTACTTAGTCTTGACAGCAAGCACTTTGAACCATCTCACCAGCCCTCAGCTTTGCTAGTTTTAAAATCAAAGAGTTAATAAAGATTTCACATAAAAAGTCATAAAATTAATAAACGAAGACTGTGTTGTCTATGTGTTAGATCACCTGTATGTTTAGGGAAACTGTCTTTAATTTTCAGGGCAGTTAGCAGGGCATTGGTGGAACACGCCTTTAATCCCAGCACTCAGGAGGCAGAGGTAGGCAGATCTCTGTGAGTTTGAGGCCAGCCTGGTCTCCAGAGCGAGTGCCAGGATAGGCTCCAAAGCTACACAGAGAAACCCTGTCTCGAAAAACCAAAAAAAAAAAAAAAAAAGAAAAGAAAGAAAGGAAAAAAGAAAGAAAGAAAGAAAGAAAGAAAGAAAGTTTTCAGGGCAGTTGGCTGAACAGACCAGGTAATGTGGAATGATGGACATTTGTGAATGATTTTTTTCTCTTGGTTTATATATGTAATTAACTACAACAAAGAGGTAAAAAAAAGCATAGCCTACACTCCACTGTAGTCTCTATAAGCCTAGGTAGCCCCATCTACCTAGAGGTGCCCAAGAGGAGTGCTGCATCTCCTGGAGGCTCAGTCCAGAGATGCTATTCAATTGACCGTGGGTTTCCCCTTAATGGGCTCTAGCGCTGTGCTAATA